ACGCAGTGTGCTGTTGTCCCAGCTACAGGGCTGTGGAAGCAGTGCGCTGCTGTCCCAGCTACAGAGCAGCAGACGCAATGTGCTGTTGTTCCAGCTACAGGGCAGCAGACGCAGTGTGCTGTTGTCCCAGCTACAGGGCTGTGGAAGCAGTGTGCTGTTGTCCCAGCTACAGGGCAGCAGGCTATTGAGCTGCTGTCCCAGCTACAGGGCTGCTCACTGTTAATTTCAGGGCACACACATGGATGACGCTTATTGTCACCAGCAGTGTGCCCTACGTGTCAGGAACTGCATTCCCAGACCCGCCCCCTGGCCCGCCCCCACTCTGCACATCTCCTGTCCCAGCACTCCACTGAGGGGCCCGTGGGGGGCTGATTCCTGGCAGCTGGCCTCCCCTGTTATGCAGTGTGTGTGTGTGTGTGTGTGTGTGTGGATTAGGTTTATATTACTTTGTGGGGACCAATTGTCCCGCAAAATGTAATAAAAATCTGTTTTTTTTCACGTTGTGGGGACCATTTTTCAAGTCCCCACAAAAATCTGTGAATGCAGTCAAAAAAGTAAAAATGCCAAAAGTCTGTTCGGTTACTTATGGTTAAGGTTAGGGCTGGGTAGGGGTTAAGGTCATCATGTTGGGATTAGGATTTTGCCCATAGAAATTAATGGAGAGTCCCCACACACAAACCTGTGTGTGTGTGTGTGTGTGTGTTTTCTAAAACAATGTTGAGCTGCACCCTTTGAGACAAATATTTCTACTGCACAGCTACAATATCGGTGCTTCCTGTTTTGTTTCCTGCACATTAGGATTTTGGGAAAGAAAACGGATTCAGATCCTTTGTATTTCTATTGATTGTACTTCAGTATTATTATTGGACTTTGTAGAGACTGGAAATATCCTTTGTGTATTTTATTCTCGTACTTGAAGATTGTCCTGATGATTTGCGATTTAGGATATCTGTGTTTTCTTCAGGAATCATGGCTGGCTCCAACAGGTCTGGAGACCTCCGAGATGCCCAGAGGTCCATTCCCACAGGAACCATCCTGGCCATTGTAACCACCTCTTTCATATGTATCTTTTCCACTGGTGCTGCTGAATTTGCCTGTGTGTGCATGTATGTGTGATTCACAAACCATTAAGATGCACTGACTTGCTTTGATGGTCCGTTTTTCTTGACTGTGCCATGCAGACATGTCCTGTGTCCTGTTGTTTGGTGCATGTATTGAAGGTGTAGTTCTAAGAGACAAGTAAGTATCCCGTTATTCCCCCCACGACTGCCTGTCGCTGCCTGTGTGTTCATGGTTCTTTCACTCACCTCTTGCTAGATCATTGTATTTGGAAACCCTTCATTGATCTTGTCCACATTCACGAACGAGCCGTTTCTTCCCCATGTGCTTTGACTGCCTTGTTCTGTGGCATCTCTGAAGAGCTTTACAGACAAAGCACTGGGAGCAGGAGGACTGCAGGGGAATGTCTGTCTCCGGCTCTGAAAGGGCTGTGTCACTGATCTAAACTGATACATAATGAACAGGCTTCACTGCGGGAGACTGAAGCACCAGGGTATCAGGTGCTAATGACTAATCTGTGTGTGTCTTTGTGTGTGTGTGTGTGTGTGTGTGTGTGCTTTAGGTTCGGACACTCTGTCCATAAAAACCTGGTGATTGGTACATTGTCCTGGCCCTCGCCTTGGGTCATTGTCATCGGCTCCTTCTTCTCCTGCTGTGGGGCGGGGCTTCAGAGCCTCACTGGCGCCCCCCGGCTGCTGCAGGCCATAGCACGCGATGGCATAGTGCCCTTCCTGCAGGTTTGTCCCCTCCTGTGTTACACGCGATAGAGCTGCACCAATCACAACACTGAAAAACAGATTGAACCTATTGAAGGTTAAGCAGATAGAAAACACTTTTCAAGTCCACTTTACATTATACATCTTGTCAAACACCTGGATACATGCCTGAAATGAGTCAGCAGTCACAAGGAGGCGGTGCTGATGCCTGTGTCTTCCTGCAGGTGTTTGGCCACGGTAAGGCCAACGGGGAACCCACCTGGGCTCTGCTGCTGACTGCTGCCATCTGTGAAATCGGGATACTGATCGCCTCCCTGGACGCTGTGGCCCCTATCCTGTCCATGTGAGGACACCCCCCCCGCACCCCCCCGACTCCATGCTTCGGTCCCTGACCTGCGGGATCCCTGATCATTGATAGCCTTCTATCTGCCCGCAC